ACCACAACACCCAAACAGAGAGAGAGAACAAAAGGGAATGCCCTGCCACAGAGGCAGGGTGGTATGGGGGGTGGGGGGTGGGAGGGATATGGGGATCCGTGGTGGTGGGAAATGGGTGCCGGTGGAGGGATGGATATTTGATCACTGTATAACTGAAACCCAAGCACAAAAATTTGTAAGTCTTCAACTGTACCTCATGGTGTCTCACTAATAAAAAAAAATAAAATAAAGGAGGCCCCTAGCCAGCCTCTCTCTCTGTGCCCTCCGTTACACTCAGAAGACAACAAGACAGTGGGACCTGTCCCATGCACACCTGGCCATGGAGGAGACTAAGGGAAGTGGAGGGGACAGGGAGCCACCTGGATATGGCCCTACACAGGTCAGAGCAGCAGGTCCCAAAGGGGCACAGGTTGTTGGTGTCAGATCAGTCCCACACTGGACAGAGAAAAGCGTAGGGCAGGACCAGGATGTTGTCATCTGGATCGAGCATTGCAGGACGGAATGATTGACATTGAAAGGTAAGAACCCGCTACCATCTGCTTACACCATATAATAAACTGTAACTTCTTAATTATCTGCATCTTGTGCGCAGATCTGTCCATACAGTTTTCAAGAATCCGTGAGTTCCGGAATGAAGCCACTTGTGCCATTGCCAATGGCAGAGAACAGGAGTTGGCCCTCGTGTGCAGCTTCTCACCAAGAAAAGCCATGAGACCGATGATGGAGGAGGCTGGAATCAGCTGGTATGTTCTTATTCCAGCTGGGATACATTGTTATCTGTGTTTTAATTAAGTGCTATCAAGACTCTGTGGAAGGCCAACCCAACTGCCATCCTTCTGACCTCTTCCAGCAGAATCCACTCACGACAAAGAATGGAACTTTGGGATGTCTCTTTCCTAAGCTCCATTCCATCATTGTCATTGCCATAGTCTATGGGCCAGGAGGCAAACTTTTCCTTGGTAGAGAGAAACGCACAAATCTAACCAACTTGTCATGGGATTGTACTCCTTTCTTCCTGCATTGGGGAATGACGGGAGGAGGCTGTGAAGGGAATATGGCAGCCACCTTGTAAACACGAGGAGGGGACCACTGGCAGGTGTGGATGGTGGAACAGGAGGGTAGAGAGGGCTGATGGGGAGCCTGTTTTTGAGGTTACCTCAGTCTCAGTTTTACACCATTTACTTATATAGGAGGGCTGGAGCGATAGCACAGTGGAAAGGGCGTTTGCCTTGCACGTGGCTGACCTGGGTTCGATTCCTCCACCCCTCTCGGAGAGCCCGGCAAGCTACCAAGAGTATTTTGCCCGCATGGCAGAGCCTGGCAAGTCCCCCGTGGCATATTTGATATGCCCAAAACAGTAACAACAAGTCTCACAATGGAGATGTTACTGGTGCCCGCTCAAGCAAATCGATGAACGATTCATCAATTAAAGTCTTGCGGACCACAGCTCCAGGACAGTGCTACAGTGCTATTTATATAGAGATTCCTATCAGTCCAGGTGCTTTCATTCAGGGGCTTTTAAACTTACATCTTAACGGAATAGTCGCTTACTAATAAAATCAATCAATTTTACATAAAAAATACAGATTTTCGACTTACCTTGAAAAACCAGAAAGCCTAGTGGTCCTGGAGCATCTGATGCTAAAGCAGGGCAGAGGGTGTGAGCTCTGCCATGTCCATCCACCCCCCGTGGGCCCTGACCAGCCTCATTCACGGCATCCCATCCTGGTCCCTCCAGGCAGCTCCTCTGGTGGCAGTGGCTTTCTCGGTAGATCTGGGCAGGGAGTCTTGGTGAGGGTAGTAAAGTCTTGCGGACCACAGCTCCAGGAGGAGACGGGCAATCGGCTCCATTTGCAACCTGCCGCTTCCGCCAGACAGACTGAATCAGCCGCCCCTCCCGGCCCACATCAGGACCAAGGCCTGCATCCACAGCCGACACAGAAGTGTGGATTCCTTCATAGAACAGAGCATGAACGTAACCCACGAATCCAGAAAACGCCTGCCTCGTGAACTGCTTATCCTGTTAATTACTGCTCGGCAGACTGCCGCCATATGCTACATGTGATTAGGTCCTTTGTAATTTTAATTACAGTTTAATGAAAGCTTTTACATGTCCTACCTTTGGACTTCCAATTTAATTATCTGCATTCACAGCACTCTCCTCTTTGTTACCTTTTAGATTCTGTCCATTTATCTTTAAAAGCAAGTATTTGTATTAAGTGTACATTTCATGGTGCAGAATTTTATGAGATCAAGTTGAACTTAATGAAAGTGGAAGGCGCTCACTTGCTTCCTGCTCGCCCCTGCACAGCACAGGGATGAGGGTGGCGTGTGAGGCCCAGATCAAGCCAGAGTGCAACCATGACAGATGGCGGAAATGAGAAAAATCAGGTAGGCCTCAGATTCAGTTCCTGGAACTGAAACCGATTTCGTTTCCCAGCTAGTTGCAACGTGTAACTAGCAAACTGAACCCACCTGGGAAGTTCCTGGGCCCAATAAATGCTCAATCAATCACTATGCCTCAGTTATAATGCCCCAGAAACTATCTTTTGTTAACCGTAAGGAATGGGTCACTGTCACTGTCACTGTCCTCCCGTTGTTCATCGATTTGCTCCAGCGGGCCCAGTAACATCTCCATTGGAGACTTTGTTGTTACTGTGTTTGGCATATCGAATACGTCACGGGGAGCTTGCCAGGCTATGTAATCATAGAACTATGACTGTTATTGGAAACTGTTGTGTAACTATTGCCTGATCACTGTTACCAGAGGCTTGCTTAACTTTGAAACTCTGAAAATCTATATAAACTGTGATTTGGAGTCAGGGTCCTTGTCAAGACTCCACTGTGTTGGATGAGACTTGGGCCCTAGCTCAAGCTAGTAATAAATTTCCTTTGCTTTTGCATTATCCTGTGTAGACTTGGTCTCTGAAATTGGGGATCTGAAATTCGGAGGTGGGAGAGAATGAAAAAAACAACAGGGACCAGCAGGTTGGAGTTTTGTTGTTGTGCACTGCGCACTCTCTCTTTCTCTCTTTCTCTCCTTTTCTCCCCCAATCCCATTTTTTTTGTTTGTTTCTGGGTCACACAAGGGAGTAAGGTAAGCAGGGCTCACTCCTTACTCTGCACTCAAGGGTTCCTCCTGGCTATGCTTGGGGAATCACACACAGTGCTTGAAAGAACCTGGGTTGGGTGTGTGCAAGGCAAGAGCCTTCTCTGCCCATGTCTGGCTTGTTTGGTTTTTACAGCAGTTTCCCCTTCCCTTTAAAAAAAATTTTTTTAACTTTGTTTCTGAAAATTAAAAAATTTTGAGTTAAATCAGCACACTGTTTGGTTTTTCTCATTTTCAATGGATTTTAGCTTGGGATTTAAAACCCTGTCCTCTAAACTGACGGATGGTTTAGCATGGGACGTATTTCACATTTCCAAAACTGTCTGCAGGGGTTCTCATTTGGAAACTCTGTAGCCTAACTTTGGGTGGAAATAGATTCAAATCTTTCGTTTCTCCCATCACCTCGGGAGGCTCTGGGGGGCTTTGTGCCAACCTGGGTTTGAAAGCGCAGCAGCTGGAGGAGCTCGTTTGGCAAAGTCTTTACAAGGTGGTTCAGAACAGACCAGTGCAGAGATGGCCCATCAGGTGGCCTGGAGGTTCCACCGCTTCCCGCCCGCAGTTGCTCAGCAACCGTCTCTATGAGTCTCTTCGATGCAGCCGGCTTCTCGACCCAGCGCCCAGTGGCAGCCTCTGGATATCAAAGCTGCAGCCGGCGCAGCGGCGGGGCCCAGGAACCCAGATCAGAATGGGATGGCGGAGACATTTGCTGTCTTGTAAGGAGCAAGCCAGCCAGGAAGCTGCCTGCTCTGTTTGCAGACAAAAGATTGGGGATACTCAGAAAACACCTGCAGTGCTTGGAGCCCAGGGCCAGCACACGCTGCAGCCCTTGGAGTCATTCCATGAATCCCAATACTACAAGATTCCCCCCCACCCCCACCCCGTCACATTTCCACCAGGCAAAGGGTCTTGCTCATCCTGGGAGTTGAGGGCTTCCTGCTACAGTAAGGAAGAAACAGCTGCTGGAGAATCTGTAAATCCAGCCCTCACACTTAATCCTGGAGGGGAGTACCACTGCCTGCCTAGAAGTGGCTCCCTAAGGTTTACCCCTCCCCAGAGAAAGATGGAGTACCCCCAGCCCTCGATAGTCACCTGCTCCCAGACTGGCTTGGGGGAGGGGCGGGCAGAGGTTGTTGGGGGTCGAGGGAGGGGCTTCGTTTCTGCTGTACTCTGCAGAAGCATGTGCCAGTATTCCTCCTGACCCCTTCTGATTTTAATCCTTTACAAACCCCTGAAGCCCGACAGCTGCTGCTCAGACCAGAGCTGAGATACTGAGTGCTCAAAAGCTCCCAGGACATACTTTGGCGACCTGCCATGGTCTGGGTCACTTGGAAACATCACAGCCTCCTGGACGGATGTCGGCCACCTGGATTATCTAGGCCACCTGGACCAATCTTGGCTACCTGGATTATCTCGGCCACCTGGACCAATCTCGGCCATCTGGATTATCTCGACCACCTGGATTATCTCGGCCACCTGGACCAATCTCGGCCACCTGGATTATCTCGGCCACCTGGACCAATCTCGGCCACCTGGATTATCTCAGCCACCTGGACCAATCTTGGCCCCCTAGCCTGCCACTGCAGCACCCTGTTACTCCTGCGCGGTCCAAAGGCTTTGGCTGCGCTGCCCGCATGGCCCAGCACGGTCCACACCACAACTTCCAGGTGGACTTTTATTACATTTCACAACCATGAGAACCCAGGGAGGCAGCAGCTGGAGTGGGGGGACCGGGGGAGGGGGAGCGCCCGCCCCTCCCTCGCCGGCCCCAGCCCCCAGCCCCACAGTCTTCCCGAGGCGGTTCCTGGCTCCTGCCTGGGCCGAGTCCCAACGGTGGGATGGAGAGAGATGTGGAATAGCGGAGTGGAAGTTGGGAGGTGTGGCGCAGGGGCGCGCGGATGCACAGGGTCCAGGCGCGCAGAGCGTCACACGGGGCCCTCGGTGATGCCCTCCAGGGGCAGGCTGGGCGCGCTGTCCGCCGCCGGCCGCTCCTCCTTCTTCAGGGCCGGGGGCACCCGCAGGCTGACGTAGGGCTTGTGGCAGGCCGTGTTGGCCAGAGGCGGGTAGTGCTGTCGGTAGCAAATGTAGGCGAAAATGAGGCCGATGACGCCGCCCACGAAAGAATCTAGCAGGAAAGAGCAGACCGTGGGAAGCGTTAGGGGCGTTCCAGTGCAGCCCGTGGGAGGCGGGGGAGGGGGCACCTCGCTGCTCCAGTGACTGGAGGGAAGGGAAACCCCTGGAGGGTGTGGGGGAGGGTCTCAGTCTTGGAGGTTCCTGCAAATTCACTTCCCTGCTCAAAGGAGACGATTTGACCCAATTTTTTTTTTAAATTTTGGGGGTCTTTTTTCTTACACCCTGGAGACTTCCTGGAGCAAATCCTCCTTTATTTATTTTTTGTTTTGGGACCACATCCAGCATCGGTGCTCAGGGCTGAGCCCTGGCTCTGTGCTTAGCGATCACTCCTGGTGATGCTCAGGGGGCCCTTGGCAGTGCCAAGGATGGAACCTGGGTTGGCCACGTGCAAGGCAAACCTTCCCTGCTGGACTAGCTTTGCAAGCCAGGTAGGTGTTCTTGACTCTGGAAATCGATTTTGAATTCCGGGAGAGGAATCCCAGCGGGCTTTCTCCCAGTCCTACCCAGTTCCAGCAGAGACACATCCCAGAGACAAATCCCAGCTCTGCTTTTGGCCCAGACATCTCCTTTGGAGATCCTTTCTGGGGTCGGAGCGATAGTCCCGGGGTTAAAGCACATGGTACGGAAGAGGCCAACCCACATTCCATTCCCTCAGCACCACCTGTGGCTTGATAATCCCCAGCAATACAGGGAAGGGCCCAGCACCCCCTCTCACCCCTGCATTCCGGAGCCCTCCACAGTGGGGGTCCCCCATGAGAACGCCCCAGCTGACACCTGAGCAAATCAGTGCCTCATGGAACCTGAGTTTCCCTCATTCCCAAGGGCAGATCCTAAAATCCACCTCGAGGAGCAATGGGAAGTGTCAGGAGGGCTTGTGTATGGAGCTCAGGCCCAGAGCAAGCTGCCGAGGGAGGCCTGAAGATGCAGAGTCTAGGGAAGAGCTTCTCCGACTGGTACCCTGGTCTGTTCCTGTAGGAGACCACCAGAACCTCCTGACTCTTCCCCCCTCTTCCTCACGTCACCACTGACTTGTGTGGAGTTCTCTCTCCAGCATGGCCCAACTTCCATCGCATTTCAGATAAATTCCCAGTGAACTAAAAATGCATGTGGGAGAAATTGGAGGAGACCAGGCAGCAAGAAACCCCAATGGGCCAAAAGTCCTAATTCTTTATTATTACAGTTTTATTGAGCTACTACTACGAATTTATTTGTGTCCCCCCGGAAAGGTTTGTTGAAGTTCAACCCTCCTGGTTTACGCAGAATGTGACTTTATTTATAGATCAAGTTTGTACAGAGATCACTGAGTGAGAATGAGGCCAGGAGGATGGCATGGGTCCAAGAAACGCTCTTATGTGAAGGGGATGCACGAGTTCAGAGTCAGACACACAGAGGGAAGATGATGTGAAGGAACACAGGAAGAAGACTCAAGAAGACGGAAGCAGAGACCGGAAATCTGAGCTGGACATCAAGGAACTGAAGAGCCAAGAATGCCCTGGCCCCTCCAGGACTCCCCAGAGTCCTGCCCTAGATTTCGGACATGTCACTGTCACTGTCCTCCCATTGTTCATTGATTTGCTCGAGCGGGCCCAGTAACATCTCCATTGTGAAACTTTGTTGTTACTGTGTTTGGCATATCGAATACATCACAGGTAGCTTGCCAGGCTTTGCCGTGCAGGTGAGATACTCTTGGTAGCATGCTGGGCTCTCCAAGAGGGACGGAGGAATCGAACTCGGGTTGGCCATGTTGGCTGCGTGCAAGGCAAACGCCCTAACCGCTGTGCTATAGCTCCAGCCCATTTCAGACACAAGGCCTCAAAATCCACAGACAATGAAGTTCTACTGTCCTAAGCACTCCGTGGATGGATCATTGGAGCAGCAACCCTAGGAAGCTCATACAGGGGCCAGCAAGAGGCAGAATTTCCACTTGCCTACAGAGAATATTCCAGTGCCCAGCACAGCCTGAGGTGAAGCCTATGCTATTTACTATCAAACTCTTCACCAAGAAAGTTCACTGGGTCTTGTTTTCACAAATAAGTAATCAATATGCAATTCATCACTTCAATAAATGGCGGTGAATGAGCAGGGGGAGAGTGACGGGGAGCCGTGGGGGGGGGGGGGGGATGGTGACAGAGTGAAGATGACAAGCTAGGCACCTCACAGGAAGTGACTCTTGAACCAAGGCCAGAAGTGGGGGAGGGAGCCAGCCCACCCAGGAGAGGAACACTGTAGGCATGGGGAAGAGCTCGCTGAGCCCCTGAGGTCTGGGTGTGTGGGGAGCAACCACAGAACCCAAGGGCTGGGGTAACGCTGGCATGAGCAAGGAGGCCACTGCAGACTCCATATCTCAAAGGCTCAAGCTGGCAGAGGAGGAAGAGAGAAAGTGGAGGGATGAGAGCTGGCAATAGGGCAACCCATGATGGGTTGGGTTAGAATGGAAGTAAGAAGATGGACACTGGAAATATTTTCAAGTTGGCTCCATGAGGACAAAGCAGAGAAAAATCACAGGCAACAGATGGGGGAACGATTCCCTGAGGAAAATCGAGCAGATTGTCAATGGAATTAGGAAAAAGCCAAGGTCCTGCTTCCCTGGAAACTAAGCAATGCCCGGGGGTGGTAGGGGACAAGTGGCCAGTACTAACCAGAGAAAGGAAAGGCAGAAGGCCTGATGGCAAAGTGCTCACACACAGGTTCTCACTGGAGGGCAGGGGTGACCCAAGGCTGCCAGAAACCCTTCAGAAGGCATAGGGGCAAAGGCAGGGCTAAGTGGATTCAGAGCCAATCAAACTTAAGATTCCCAGGCCCTGAGCTGTGTTGGAAGCTGATTATAGATGTAAGTTCTGCCCCTACCGAATGGGGCAATGACTAGAGAGGGAAAATGAGGTGAGACCCATTGATTTGGAACTGAGAAAATCAGAGGAAAATCACTGTGGGTTTTGTTCCCTACAAGGCTGGGCGTTTTGGTGGAAATGATAATAGAGTTCCAATGATTCTTTTTAAAGTTACTTCATTTAGAAAATGTAGAGCTTGCTTCTGGCAGGCCAAGAGAGGGAGGCTGGTCAGCTGTGTGTGTGTGTGTGTGTGTGTGTGTGTGTGTGTGTGTGTGTGTGTGTAGATGGAGGGAGGAACGAGAGGAAAGAGGGAGGAGACCAGCTAGAGCTGCCCTTTGAAAAGCCGAAGTATTATGGGGAGCATGAATGGTCCTGCACCGTGTCCCCAACCCACATCCTGACCCAGAACCATGCTGGGTGGACAATATGAAAACTTGGTATCTAAAGATAAAGACCTTTTACAGCCTGGTTGGGGAAATGCAGTGACGGCTGGGACAGACATCTTGAAACTTCATTTTGGTCAAATATGGTGCCTGTGGCTGTCCCAGTCTCAGTCTGGGTGGGAACATGTGACTGTTTCCACCCCTGAAAGCGAGTTTTCTACTTTACGTTCAGAGGGAAAATGCTCTTTCCTACAATAAAGCATCACCCAGGTACTCAAAGTGTCTTACGATGATCAATAATTAAGCTATCATTGGTTCAAAGGCCAGATCTGAGGAAAACCTGTATCCAGAAACAGAGATCTGAGGGGGTGGAGAGAGTTCGGGACAAACAACACACCCCTTCCACTGGCACCTGGAACTTTCCACTAACTGGAAACCATGAAGACCAAGACTGGAAGAAGAGGTGGAGCAGGTTGATGGAGTGAATGTGCCCTTTGTTTGCATCTCATTTCTCTATCTGTCTTTTCTCAAAAATCCCACGAGTCAGAAAGCTTGAAAAGTCAGAATAAATCATAAACGTCTCTGTGACGCACTGGGCTTTGCACTTCACATCTCCCAACATGCTCTGCAGCTTCTAGTTGAGCTAAAACCCAGCAGCCTGTCACAAAGACAGGGAGAGCCTCAGCTCCACAGAGTCAGTTTCCATCCAGAAGGTTCTATATCTTGGGAAGTTCTGCTCAATGTCTTGCCTGTGCTTTCTTGCCAAGGATGTGCCCTCCCCGCTCCTCCTATAATGCAAATTGAATTAAAAACAAGACTTGCATATTTGTAGTGGAGCTAGAAAGGAGAAATGATCAGAAGAGCCCGGATAAAGAAAATAATCATGACAACAAACATGCTCGGCATCTGAGGTTCTGGGTTGTTTATTGGATGCAAATGTCATCAGATAATCTGATATACTCCCACACGAGGCACGGCTGCTTGGATCAAAATTGGATCATTAAAATCTCATCATGCGAAGGCTGTTCACTAAGTCTTAAATGAGAGCAACTTGGGTTTTGTGGATAATTGTGGAGTTCCATGTGAACCTCCTGATGGACGCCATGATGGATGGTCTCACCCACAGTCACTGGGCTGTTGGGTTCACAAAGAAAAACAGCCACGCGTGCATCTCAGGAGGACATCCTACACCCCCATCTACACAGATGTCAATGTTCTCCCACGTACCCTCTTTCCAAGCTGGAGACCCTGACAACCTCCTTACTAAGTGAACGTTGAACAAATAGAACCATCCATTGCTTGAGCATTGCTACTTCCCAACAGGATGAAGAAAAGGAGGAGACCCAAGTGCCAATGTCCAGTTGCTGTCTCAGCTGCTGCAGCAGACATGGGGCAGGACACGCTTCCTCATGTGGCAAGTGCTCTCTTGTGCACTGCTGGGTGGTTAGCTGACTTCCTCCCTCTATGCCCCACTTCCCCCAGGTGGGGTAAATCAGATGCCCCTAGACACAACTAGAGGTCCTCTGGAAGGTCCACCAGCTGAGACCTGGTGGTGTAGACAATAACAGGTGGCCTCGGAAGAGGTAGGGGAAGGGAGTAACACAAGCCTGATGCAGGAGGAGGCTCTATGTTCCTCTATGTTCCTCTCTTGGCTGAGTTACAAGCTGCGCGTGTGAAAGCGGAGCAGCACACAGTGACCGGTACCAACAGATGCGTATTCCGTTTGGGCCACAGACTTCTGCCTGTGGTCTGGTCACCCTCAAGTGTGGCTCTAGAATCCACGGAATATTCATTTCCTTGCTTCACTTGTCCAACAGCCCATAGCAACATTAATAATATTCTGCTGCTGCTCCAAGTTCCTTTTCATGCCAGCTGGGCTGGAGGGCTTTGAAGTCCAGTTATCAACAGGCCTTGGATGGACCAGCTGCATCATGCAGCCATGATGACCCTAAGCCAAGAACAGAGATTCTTCATGCTGACACAGTATGCCAGCCTCAACTGGGTGATGAATTGGACCCATCTGGGTTAAAGGCATAGAGGAGTGGCCGGTTTTGAGTCTCCCACTTTTCAGATGAGATCACTTCCTAACGCCCCATCCTGCCTTCCCAAGTAAAGCAAAAAAAAAAAAAAATCTTTTCATTTCTAAAACCCCTCATCATTTTCCAAATTTAAAGTAGCTGGGGTTGGGTGAAAAACTGAGATTCTTTGCTTCCAAAGAGATGGTGCTCCCCACCCACATCTGTCTGGCTGAGAGAAGCAGACAGATGTGGGAAGCAGGACAGACGTGGGAAGCACGACACATCCTTTAGAAACAAACACCAAGAATATACGCATGATGGAATAGAATGCAGTTGCAAGGAGAGACGAGATCGTGCGACCCACTGCAATTTGGATGAAACTGGAGGACATCATGGTAAAGAAGTCAGAAGAAAGACAAGAACTGGATGTTCTCATTGATCCATGATACATGTAGAGTAACAGGGTGAGGATGCATATGGTACGAGAGGGAGGAAACCTAGATTACCTTTGATGGTAGATTATAGAAATACGACATGGAAGGAAAGAAATCAGGGGAAGAGGGAGCTATCAGAGGTGGACATAAAGCAATAGGCCAGGATCAGGGGTCTGGGGCATCTCGGTGGTGGAGAGGTGAGGTGTGTGTCTATATCTGAACCACAGAGACAACAGCACTGTAAGCGAGGCATCTGAACTACAATAATCAAACTTATAAATAATCAAACACTCAAACCATAATAATCAAGCACCCAAACCACAACAATGAGACTTTTAATTGTGCCTCTCAAGGAGGCAGGTTGGACTGGCAGGGAATCTGGGACACGGCTGGAGGGACGCTGACATTGGTGACAGGACTGCCGCTGGAATAGAGTATGTCCGAAACTCTATTATGAATAGCTTTATAAATCACGGTGCCTTGAAACAAAAAGAAATGGAAAAAAAGGAACAAACACCCAGCAACCACAAGACCAGCTTCCACATACAGGATAGTTTTATGGACAATGCCCATTGGATTCATTATTTCCACGGCAGATGAAATAGCTCTGTGAAACATGGGATGCCGGCTCCCTTGTCGAATGAAGAAATGCCAGCTCAAGGGCAAGAAGTACCCCCAGGGGAAATGGGCTTCTGGGGAATGGTGTCCCCAGGGATAGGGTGTGACCCTGTGCTGCAAACTCAGTGACCCCCTGCCTGCTTCTTTTTGAGGGTACAGTTTCCTATCATCCAGAACTTCCTCCAAGGCACTGTGATGAGGTGACTCAGGGCCCAGCCTGGGATCTTCACGAATCCCCTTTGGGCAGTCTCAGGATCTAGTCAGCCCTTGGGTTGGCTGCCCAGACCACATGCCAGTCCCCGGGTCACAGCTGTTTCCAGAGAGTTAGGCCCCCCAGAGCATGGCCCCAGCAGGATGACAGAGGGAATCACAAGGGAGTCCTAGAAGGGGGAGGCAGGCAGGGATGGCAGGGACATAGAGCCCCTAGACAAGATGAGAAGATGGCCCCCTTAGCCGGGGGTGCCCCTCACTTCTGACCTTATCTGCGCCCTCATTGCCACTGGCACTGAAGAGGGGTGATAAGGGGGTGCCCCCAAGCACATGGCTGCAGAGGCAGAAAGCGGGAGGAGGGCCTCTGGACCTGGGGGAGGCTGGGAAGAGGCTGGCCAAGGCGGCACGGGTTGTAAAACAGCGATGGTGGTGCTTGTGTGCAGGAGCGCAGCGGGCCCTGCCCACTCGGTGGGCACCAGGAGCTACCTGGTGCAGAACCATGCCTGGTGCTACCCTGGCCTGAGTCTTGTCTTAGCTCATAGTGGCCAGGAGAGGGGACCTGTCCTGTGGGGAGCCCAGCGCTCAACTCCATGCTCCTGGAGGTCACATGTCTGTGCTTCCTCCTGGCCGGGACAGGCCAGGACAGGTCGGGACAGTGTGAGCTGATGTCCAAAGCTGTTGTCTACAATGATCAAAAGGGAGAGAGAGAGAGACAGAGACACAGAAACAGACAGAAAGAGACAGAAAAACAGAGACAGAGACAGAAAGATGGAGACAGAGAGAGGAAAAGCACCTGTCATAGTGGCAGGCTAGGGGGTGGGGGGTGATGGGAGAGAAACTAGGGACACTGGTGCTTGAAAATGTACATTGGTGGAGGGGTGGGTGTTGGAACATTGTATGACTGAAACCTAATCATGAACAGCTTTGTATGGGTCTATCTCACAGATATTCAATGAAAAAAATTGTTTTAAATAAATTGTTTTGTTTTTTATATCACAGAGATAATACTTGAAAATTTATATCACAGAGAAAATACTTCAAAAAATTAATTAATTTTCAATACATGTTGAATAATTCTGAAGTATACTTAATCACTCAACAGTTATTCCTTGAATATCTGTAGTGTGTCAGCTACTGTGGACAAGGGCATAGTGATTAAAAAAAAATTGTCCAGGGGCTGGAGCAATAGCACAATGGGTAGGGCGTTTGCCTTGCACGTGGCCAACCCAGGTTCAATTCCCAGCATCCCATATGGTTTCCTGAGCACTGCCAGGGGTGATTCCTGAGTGCAGAGCCAGGAGTAACCCCTGTGTGTCACCAGCTGTGACCCAAAAAGAAAAAAAATTGTCCATGTCTTCATAATACCACACATACTACTGTGTTCTTGCACATAGTTGATCCAGGTTCCATCCCGGCATCCCCTATGTCTCCTGAGTCCGCCAGCAGTGATCTCTGAGTGCAGAGCCAGGAGTCATCCCTGAGTACCATGGCCAAATGTGGTCCAAAAACTGAAGGCGCTCTTCAACGCCGTCATGAATCCCAAGACGGCCAACGTGCCATGACCATGCCCATGCGGCTCCGCAAGCTGCCCGACTCGTTCTTCAAGCCGCCCGAACCTAAGGCCCACTCGCGGCAGGTGAGGCGCAGGGGGCGCGGGGCGTGGGCCCAGGCCCGGCCTTTCTCAATAAATTAAAAAAAAATTAAAAATAAATAAAAAATAAAAGGGGTGCAGAGTGGGCTGGTTTCCTTCCCCAAAGGAGCCTCCCTTGCTCTTTGCTTCTGTCTGCAATGTCTTTCTTTTCAGGTCTCCAGAGCAGTGCTGGGGTGAGGGACACTCCCACAATTCATATCATGTGAGCCGGATGGTTGAACGCCAGGGCTCAAAGATGGGTGTGGTCTGTGCCCTGCCATCATGCCAGGGATGTGTGTTTGTGTGTGTGTGTGTGTGTGTGTGTGTGTGTGCATGAGCACGCACACACTCACAGGGCTGCAACTGAGATGCCAAGGGGCGCCCCCGACACTATCTCCCCCGCCCCTGCTTTTGACTTTTCTTGAACTCCAGACACTCAGGCCTCACCCCTGTAAGGAAGCCTTCCCCCAGCCTTGCAACAGCTTCTTGGAGCCTGCTCGGTGGTGATGAGACACCAAAGCCCTGGTGAGATGGATGTGAAGTGCAGAAGGAGTCCCCAAACCCCTTGCACAAGACATCAGAGATGCAAGAGACCCTGCAGGCTGCAGCCGAGAGCCTGCCACTCAGTGAGAGTCACAGGCACCCTGCGGAGGAGGAGGAGCCTCAAACATGTCCTCACCCAGGACGGTGGGAGGCTGGAACTCTCTGGAATGGGTCAGTCTGCCTGAGAACTGTGCCTGCTGCCTGCCCTTGTTCTGCTGCCCTGGGAACATCCTTCTCCCCTGCAAGCTGCACCTCCCACCCCCGCCTCTGCCTGCAGGGGGCACCCGAGAGCCAGCACGGACTCACCTTGCCAGGGGACTCACCTTGCCAGTGATGCTTGTAGTCGCACATGCGGGACAGGGCGATCATCATGGCACAGTACAGGGGCAGGATGGCGGCACAGAGGCGCCAGCTCTTGCCCCGCCCGCTCTCGGTGAAGCAGTGCAGTTTGCCAGCCAGGTAGAAAGTGGTGAAGCCGAGGCCCGAGAAGGCAACTACCAAAGAGAAACAGCAGAAGTGAGTTACTCTGGTGGGCGATGAGGAGCAGGGACACACACACACACACACACACACACACACACACACACACACACACACGGGTCGGCCACCCTGCACCCCAGGGCCAGGTGCCACGCAGACAACCTGTGCTCTCGAGCCACGCTGGAATCATACATCCCACCATGAGGATGATTTTCCAGGTTGGCACGAGATAGAAAAACCGTTCCTGCTTCATTTACTCATCCGCTCTCATTCTCCAGAGATATAATGGGCTGCTATTGTGCTCCAGACAGAAAGAACAGCCGACCACCCAGGCTGCGTGATGCATTTAATATGAAGTGTTAAGTTCTGCAAGAAGGAAAGTGACTACAGAGAAAAGAGGCAGGATAGCTTAAATGTGAAGGATGGGAAGGGAAGGGATTTGGGGTGCGCTGGCGGTTATTAAAATGCAACCAGCAAAACAAGGGAATAGGGAGGTTGACAGAAATGCCTCCAAGACAAATGCCTTGTTTTCTCTTAGAATACATGGGTCTTGCGGCTGTTTTTTTCTTTTTCTTTTCTTTCTTTTTCTTTTTTTAAGTATTGCTGTAGGTACCTTGCCTGTGTCCCATTCCTTGGTGACTGAGTTTTAGAATCGCAGAGAGAATGGGGTCTGGGCTGAATCCCTTGTTCAAAGCCTGGGGTTCGGGTGGTATTTATAATCCCCACGCTTTCCATCCAGACAGGCTGAAAACATGGTTGGCAGGTCAGCGAGATGAAAGGTGGGCCTTCAGTGAGGTGAGAACAAAGGTGGTCGGCCCTGGCTACTAAGGATGCCACTTTGAAAGCCTGGGAAGCTTCAAACTAGTTGGAGGGGAAACAAAAGATGTTGACCCCATCCCTAGCTGACACAAAGACCATTCCAGGGTGAGAATGGAACATCTCGGAGCAAACAGGTACATTAACTGGAGGACAGGAGGGGCTCTGGCTGTTTGTGCCTGGCCCAGCGTCTTTGTGCCCTGATCTGCTCAGGGCTCTGCCCGGGTTGCTCCTTACTGACACTTCGCTTCTTATCTTGATGAACCCCAACCCACCTGACCAAGTCCTGGTGCAGGGAGAGCTACTGGTCCCTTATGCTTGATGTTCCAGCCTGCTTGGCTGGTTCCACTCACCCAGCTAGTCCTACCTGCTGCTTCTACAAGTCCACACCATTCCGTCCATGTTCCTAACCACTGGCTCTCCCAGTTTTTCTCTGAATTGGTTATCATCATCTTCAAGCTGCTAGAAGTCTGGGTTTGCAGCATGACCCTACCATAGCGAGGTGGGGGCCCCTGCTTGATTATCCTATAGAGATCAGGAAGATGCATTCTTGCCCCAGGTGGGACCCAGACTGCAAGCTCCTCAGAACAGAGGGACGGCAGCTACTCTGAAGAAGAGGAAGGAGGGAAAGGAATGATAGAGGCTGAGTTTCTGGGTTCTGGAAGTCATGGCCATCAACATCTCTGGACACTTCCCTGAGGCCTCTGGAGGGGTCTTTTGGGGGGGGAGGGAGTGGAGTAGGAGCTAAGCACAGCTGGGAAGGTCTGGGTGGACCTGGACACGCCTCCTGCTCCTGCTCCCTCCTTTCGTATGACCGAGGCCAGCTGCCTTCCTACAACTCAGGCTTAGGTATGTCATGGGGACGTGCGACAGTGTCCAGAAGAGTGATGGAAAAATGAGTGATGGCCCCTGAGATGTGGGACAGCGTGCCTGGTACACATTAGGCCTCTGGTGAAGGGTTGGGTTCTTTTTAGGGTCTAAGTGATGCTCAGGAGGCCTGAGGGCCAACCTGACTGATGCTCGGTGCTTAGGTTCAAGAACATGCTGCTGCCTGGACATGGTGCCAGGATCACCCAGGCCTCTCCAGGGTCCTCGGGGTGCTGTGTGCAGCTATGCTTGGGAAACCAGATAGTGCCGGAAATTGAGCTGGGGTTCGCCTCCTGCAAAGCGACCAGCTTAGCCCTCCAGTACTGGAGACCAACCCCAGATTCAAGCTCTTCCTCCTCCCCTCTGCTATTCTCTGTTCTCACCGAGAACCCTGCTGCTCCCTGCAGCAGAGCCAATGGGCCTGCAGAGGCGTTTCCTGATCGAGGTGGGATCTGTGTCCACAAATGAACACGGCAGGCACCACCTAGGGGCTCCACAGATACCGCTAACAAAGACACAGGGAAGGAAGCAATGGCAGGGACCATAAAACTGGGGAGGATGGGGGAGGGGTCCCCAGGGATATGGTGGGGAGCCCCTTTCCTGCCTCACTAACTCCCCCTCACTCTGCAAGTTTCAGCTGCTCTGGTATCACTTCACTGCCCTCTCAGAAGCCTCCAGTTCTCACCAGGAGGTGATGAGCTTGGCCTGCACTCAGCACGGGTCCTTCCCCAGCCCTCGACCTCTGCACAGTTCTTCTTCTTCTTTTTTTTTATTTTTTGAGTCAAATGCAGCAATGCTCAGGGGTTACTCCTGGCCCTGCACTCAGGAATCACTCCTGGTGGTGCTCGGGGGACCATATGGGATGGCGGGGATTGAACTTGAGTCAGCTGTGTGCAAGGCAAACGCCCTTCCCACTGTACTACGCTCTGAGAGGAAAAAGCCTGTGTCTGTGTGCTGGAACTCTCTAGATACTCAATAAACATATGCAGGGATACACAGCTGATGCCCAGGGCGAAGCTCACAGAAGGAAGAGGAGGGGATTGGAGAGAGTACAGCAGAGAAGGGATGGATGCTGCATGTGGGGGACTCCGGTTCTATTACCGGCATCCCACAGGGTCCCTGGAGCCTTGGTAGGAGTGATTCCTGAACAAAGAGCAAAGAATAAGGTCTGACACTGCCAGGTACAACCCCAAAACCACTCAAACCATAGAGATACATCACACACACACACACACACACACACACACACACACACTGTGTTCTTCCAACAAGAATGCTCCCAGAATCTTCCTGTAGCCCTAGGACCATGAGCCTCTCTATTTTCCCAAGATAGCCTCCCTCACGTACCTGGACCAAACTCCAGGGTTATGGGTATCCTTAGAAAGTAAAACAATAGTGAATTCTAGAGGGGCTAAAGGATGGCCAGGTGGAGTCTGGGCAGAGCACTAGGGGAGAAAAGAGGAGACACACTGGGGCCAGGAGGAATAGGGAAGTGGGCCAGCAGGTCTGGAGCGCCCCCCCATCTGCCCCATCGTATCCTGCACTGCCTGACTTCACCTGGTGGGGAATCTCACACAGCAGCACAGGCAGGCATCCAGCTGGATGGATGAGACCCAGACACTCAGGGCAAATAACTCATCAAAGTTTGTTTCGACCTTTTAATTAGAATTAGAATGATTTCAAGGAGAGAGAAAGAAAAAAGAAAATCAGATTCATTAGCACACAACAGTGATAGTCCTGCTAACCACCTGGTGTTTTAGGTGTTATACTTTGTTTTGGGGGCCTCATCTAGCTATGCTCAGGGCTCACTCATGGCTCTGGGATCACTCCTTGAGGCCTAGATGGGGTGCTAGGGAGGGAACCCGGACCAGCCACATGCAAGGCAAGAGCCTTAGCCACTGCACTATTGCTTCAGCCCAGCAGGAATATTCTGAGAGCCCCAGGATATGCATTGTTGGGACTGCCTGAAGCCCTAGGCAGCAGCACACTGCCTGGAAAGAGAAGTGACCAGCACACGTGAATGATTGGGCACATACGTCCAGAACATAAACACAATAAGGGACCCTACTAGATTCTCAGGCCAAAAAGATGTCAGGAGCCAGAAGGTCACACCCTTCCTCCCCTTGAAAGCAGGCAGCTCCTGAAAGTTGCTGTGATTTTCCTTGCAGAATGGAAATGGTTGCACAGTTTTGTTTGAGAACGAACAACGGGGGGAAAGAGAGAGAAACTGAACTCGCTCATAATTAGCTTGAAAGCAAATGTCAGAGGCAGGAAATGCAAACAGAAAAAACGTCAACTGTTAAGCTCTCACAGAAGCCCAGTTTGTATCTCTGAAAAGGATTTCTTCGGGGAGGAAAGAAAGGAATCAGGCGAGAATCGTAAAAAGATGCCAAGAAGGCCTGGGTGGGAAGGAAGGAACTGATGTGAGGGAAGGGGAAGAGCTTCTGCATCTCCTTCCATCAAAACACACCAGTGACATCAATCAGGGAAACTCAAACCCTCCAAAGAAGACTCAGCCACTGTGACTCCCCGAAGAGCCCCACACCACCCCCCAAGCTCCCCACACCACCTGATGGAAAACCTTACCAAGAATCCTAGATATGCTTGATATGCTCCTCCACTAGCAGAAGCCGTAAGCATCACCCACCGAGCTGGGGTGCGTGCCCATCCCATACAGTGGCTCATCCCGTCTTGAGTTTGGCCACAGTGAATGGAAACTTAAATAGGAGAATGAGCCTTTGAGAGGGAACCATGACCTTCCCCACAGTACCATTAGGGGAGCCAACAAAAGCGTGGGCAGCATTCAGACAAGGATCCCGATGGTTTCTTTGACCTCCAAAGTCCCCGCAGATCGTGACTTTGAAGGCAAGGTTTGAAGAGCCACATATGCATTTGAGAAACAGCTAAAAACAAAGTGGGGAGGGTTAAGAGAAGACCCTCAGTCATAGTGACTGCTGCTACTATGCTCGCCTCTACAGAAAGCGCTTGACCAGCAGGAGATGCTGTGAAGCTGCGATACAATGACCCTGGGAATGAATGAATGAAAATAGGGTTTCCCTCAAATGGAAGAAAAGCAGGAGCCTGAGGCAGCCCTAAGTCAGGAGTGTGTCTGCAGAGCTTGATGCCACATGGGGCACAGGGGTGGAGAGACGAAATTTTGGGTATGTGACAAGATCCTGCATGGGTTGGAGGTCCCACAGGCATCTCAAAAGGAAGGGAAAAGGTTCCTATCCCTCCCCAGACCACTTGCCCACTTTCTGACTCTGTGCTGTGTGTGATGTCACACACAAGGGTCACATGCTACATATAGAGCCAAGATGACTCTTGTGGA